TGATGATAGTTGATGATAGTTGATGATAGTTGATGATAGTTGATGATAGTTGATGATAGTTGATGCTAGTTGATGCTAGTTGATGCTAGTTGATGCTAGTTGATGCTAGTTGATGCTAGTTGATGCTAGTTGATGCTAGTTGATGATAGTTGATGATAGTTGATGCTAGTTGATGCTAGTTGATGCTAGTTGATGCTAGTTGATGCTAGTTGATGATAGTTGATGATAGTTGATGCTAGTTGATGCTAGTTGATGATAGTTGATGATAGTTGATGATAGTTGATGATAGTTGATGCTAGTTGATGATAGTTGATGCTAGTTGATGCTAGTTGATGCTAGTTGATGCTAGTTGATGCTAGTTGATGATAGTTGATGCTAGTTGATGCTAGTTGATGATAGTTGATGCTAGTTGATGCTAGTTGATGATAGTTGATGATAGTTGATGCTAGTTGATGCTAGTTGATGATAGTTGATGCTAGTTGATGATAGTTGATGATAGTTGATGCTAGTTGATGATAGTTGATGATAGTTGATGATAGTTGATGCTAGTTGATGCTAGTTGATGCTAGTTGATGCTAGTTGATGCTAGTTGATGATAGTTGATGATAGTTGATGCTAGTTGATGATAGTTGATGATAGTTGATGATAGTTGATGATAGTTGATGATAGTTGATGATAGTTGATGATAGTTGATGATAGTTGATGATAGTTGATGATAGTTGATGATAGTTGATGATAGTTGATGCTAGTTGATGATAGTTGATGATAGTTGATGATAGTTGATGATAGTTGATGATAGTTGATGATAGTTGATGATAGTTGATGATAGTTGATGATAGTTGATGATAGTTGATGATAGTTGATGATAGTTGATGATAGTTGATGCTAGTTGATGCTAGTTGATGATAGTTGATGATAGTTGATGATAGTTGATGATAGTTGATGATAGTTGATGATAGTTGATGATAGTTGATGCTAGTTGCTGTTTCCTCCCAGATTTCTTTTACATCAACTATCATGGCTTCCCAGTGATGTGGGACTTTTTCACCCGCCCAACTTGTAGCGCATGGGGCCTGGCGCTGCGGCTGAGAATGATGGGGATAGATCGGGTATGATGGAGTTATACCCTCTGGTAATTTAACATGGCTATTGAAAATGGCAATTTATAGTGAGTTTTCCCATTAAAAATGGTGATTTTCCATAGCTATGTTAGTTTACCAGAGGGTAACCCCATTGAGGCCTGAGCCGCATAATGGCTAGTGGTGACCCCATGAACATCTCTGGCAACATCTCTGCATGCTCTCACTGCCTGCGATCATAACCTCCGAGGTTATGCGGGGCAAGACGTGATGCGCATCAGCGGGAGCTGTTCCTCAGTGACTTTGGAGATGACTTTGAACATCGTGAAGGGTTTCCTGCCGCCCTTGATCAGTTGCTGCACCGGTGGGACAGTGTCTGGGCTAAAATGAATCTGGTGAGATGCTGACTTGTGGATAGAACAGATGAAGGTAGTGGCAGAGCCCACATTTTCTCGACTCTGCCGGATTGGTAATTCGTGCTTCATGATCATTTTTTAAGATGCATAGTTGCTTTTTCAGGGGAGAGAGGGGCATATATCATCATATCATATCTTCAACAATGATTTGGGACCAGTGGGACCTTACTGGAGCTAATGCCGTTTCCAAGTTCATGGAAACATGGAGGGTGTATTCAATGGTGCTGGTCGGAATTTCATGCGTAAGTCTACATCTGACGATGTCGATTTCCAGAGTGATACTGCACTTCAACTCCTGCCTTACCCTCCGGTAATCAAACATGGCAATGGAAAATCCTCCGCTTGTAGATGGATTTTCCCATTAAAACCTCCTTCAATAGGGGACCTTCCATTGCACGTTTGATTACCATTGTAGAATTTTGGTGGCATATTCTCCAAGCGTTCGGGGCTCCCTGCTTTCAGGAGATCAAAGCTGAAAAACGTGCAGACAGGGCATGACAGGGCAATTCGACATTTTCCCCCATGCTCCATGTATCTCCATATAATATTTATCATATATTTGTCATATATTTATCATATATTTATTACCATCTGGTTATTTAACATAGCCATGGAAAATCACCATTTTTAATAGGTAAACCATCTATAAATCGGCATAAATGGGTCATTTTCCATGGCTATGTTAAATAACCAGATGGTAATATTTATAATATATTTATCATTCATCACCATTCAACCCCTTTTTATCAGCCAAATCCAGGTATAAAATGAGAGTGGGATGTATATAAATATTATAAATATGCCAGCCATGTAGTAAGAACTCGCTTTGAGCCATGGGTTTTTCAAACCGGGCGACTTGACCGATCCCCACCCTATTCCGTCAGGGGATGACCTTCTGAGATTGGGTATTTCACCGGGTTTGTGATTGGTGTCTATGGTCAGAAAGTGATGGCTAAAAACAAGAGATTGACATATATTTAATAATGATGGCTATATTTATATCATGAAAAACCATAGGGTATCATTATATGGTCATTATGATGGCTATATTTATATCATAAAAACCATAGGGTATCATTATATGGTCATTATGATGGCTATATTTATATCATAAAAACCATAGGGTATCATTATATGGTCATTATGATGGCTATATTTATATCATAAAAACCATAGGGTATCATTATATGGTCATTATGATGGCTATATTTATATCATAAAAACCATAGGGTATCATTATATGGTCATTATGATGGCTATATTTATATCATAAAAACCATAGGGTATCATTATATGGTCATTATGATGGCTATATTTAAACACTCCGTGATACCCTATGGCTTGCTGGTTGGCCAGACATTTTATTGTCATTAGTTGTCATTCATGAGCTGTAAAAATAAAGATTTTGATTATACCGAGGGCATTCCTGTGATTTCTTGGTTCATAATGTCATAAACATTTCATATGGTTAACTGTTGGGTTTATGATAGACATATCGCACTAGTTGATGGGATTTATAAATCAACTTATGACTGGGGGGGTCGTCTGGTAAAACAAAATCCAGAGCTGGGTATGAAATACATTGTTCCGTGTTTATGTATATCTATCAAGAAACAGCTGAATAATTTCGCGGACTTCTATGCATTCAGGAACACGACTGAAGTATTTCAGTAGCAGCACTTCGGGAGTTCGACTGAACTAAATCAACTTAGCCAACGACCTGGGGCCCTACTTTGTGAGGGTTGGCCCTGTTAACTGGTCGTTGGTTTCTCTCCGATTTGGGCGCCACTGGGCCCAGCAGTTGGGGATGATTGAACTCCTACCATGGATGATGTGTGTGCAACCCATTTATAGTGATGACTTGGGGATGATTTATTATTGGTAACTCATTTTATGAAAATGACATTCAGTGGTAACTATTTAAGTTTTTCTGGATCTTTTGGGGGATTACTACACCATATGGCCATTATAATCCCCGTGGGTTCATGGCTCTTTAAAAGCCGTTTGCATTCTCGTACTCATCTGGTTGGTGGTTTGGAACATTTTTTATTTTTCCCTATTTTGGGAATAGTAACCCCAACTGACTTTCATATTTTTCAGAGGGGTAGGTATACCTCCAACCAGTCATAGTTATATTCCCATGAATCGTTGATATAAATCCATATCTTTGTTGGTGGGATCCCTGGCTATGGCCAAAACCGGTTGCTTCGTACATGGTTTCAGTAAGTTTCAACTGAAAAAAACTTACCCTCTGGTAAACTGTCCCAGAACTATGGAAAGATCCTCCATTTTATAGCTGGGTAAATCCACGTACTAAATGGCAATTTTCTATGTCGCAAGCTGTAACAGTTTACCAGAGGGTAACTCATGTTTCATCCCGCAGTTATGGGGATTTCTAGTCACTAATTCATGGGACACCTCCACGAGAAATCCCTGGAAATTGCCCTATTGACTGATGATAAAAAATGGGCTTTATACTATCCAATACGTTACATATTAGGAGCGTATCAGAGTCTATGAGAATTTTATAGAAGTGTCATAAATATCTACATTATTTGTCATCATTCTCTTATATGCTAATTCCAGTGCAGCACGGTTATTTCATCCTCTGGGAATCCCACACGGCAAATCCCACCGGCCAGTACCGGCCCATATGGGCTCTAGCCCTGGCAACGTCTCAGGTCCTGGAAGTGCACCGCGCCCTTTCGCCCGCACCGGTGCCGCCCTGCGTTTTGGAGAGCAACGCCTATGGCGAGATTCCCGCGGTGGCGCAGGTGGAAAATGGTGCTGTTTGGAGTCACGGATAGCCGGATAGCGAGAAAAAACCCTTCAGATTTTAGAGTTTAGAGGTACAGTTTGGAGGTTTAGAGCGGTTAGATCCACACTTTGGAGGTTTACTTCGAACCATATTTTGCAGGTTTTAGAACCACATTTTGGAGGTTTAGAGCCGTAAAATTATTTGTTTACAATCCAAAATTTTATAATTGCTATTTAAAAATGATAAATCCCTGAAAGACTGCAATATTTTGTAATTTAGAGATGTTTAGACCGATATGAAAATTTGAGGTTGACACTCTGTAGGGTCATTTGGATGCATAGAACTGGTCACATCCTTTTGCAGTTGCAAACCCAGCCTCACTCTTCTTGCTTCGCAGATGCGTTTTCGCTTGGAACATTTTCCACGATATAGGTGTTCTTTCCCACCGCGACGGGTTCATTAGGCCGACGGGTTACCCCCATGTGTGCCAACCATAAAAAGGGTAATTAAGAGACATGATAAACGGATATAAGCAGTAGCCGGCAAACCGGCCCCGAAAATCCAGGAAAGAGTTCTCTTGTTTCAGCCATTGAAAAATGAATTTGTGAATTTCTTCAGCGAAGAAAAAGTGACTTCTTTGATGAGCTGTGGGGTTGGCTAAGCCTGGCTAAGTGGTTGCTAAGGGAATCATATTCCATACCCCACTCAGCCAGGGGCTCGGCTCGCTCGGCTCGACCGAGCCGCCGGAATCCCAACGATTGGGTTCCCTCCGTGTATGGCGCAAGTCCAATTACTGTATGTTTCAAATAAAGTTTAAATCAGCAGGTTCAACAATAAATTTTAAGGCACTATATAAATAAATAAATAGATAATAAATTAATACATATATTATATATATAATACACATCTTGTTTTGGGTCTGTTCGTTTTGAGCTCCCATCTGATGAAACGGTTTACGTGTTTCGGGGCAGGTCACCTTCCGCAGTGACATTGGACAGCTGGCTTTTTGGCCTGTGCAAGGCCGGAGCATTCGGCGAGAGCATTCTGAGACTTGGTCTTGGGGGATCCAAGAGCTGCATCTTCCCTTCCATTCCAGATTGATTCAGGGGCCGATGATTTTTGGCCTGTAAGTTGTAACAGTAACAACCCTGTGAGACTTTCTCCCTTGGAGTCATGGTGGTCAAATTTATGACGAATCTCCTCCCATTGCTGAAAAAAAACGCTGAAGTTGTAATTATTCACTTTTTACGCCAATGAACAACTTTTTACCTCTCTTTTTGTTATCGCCCCCTTGAAATCGGTGGAATTTGACGTCCGAAGCAGCCAGGTTTCATCAGCCAGGTTCCTCGTAGGTTTTTCCGAATCCACCTGAACTGTGTGTTACAGGAAAACCATGGAAAATCATAGGAAACCGAAGGCTAGGGGCCTAGGGGCCCCATAATTTCCCATACTTTCCCATCCTTTAAATTGATCCGTTTCTGGGCTTATTGTTGCTGAACATGCAATGTTTGACCGTTCCAGACATATTCCCTGTATAGTTTTGAGATTGTTTTGAGCACCAGCCATCTCAATTGCCTGTGTGTGCGCTAGGGAAAACAATCGTTTCCTGTGACATATTACCCTGAAACCGTTTTATCACCATCATAACCCATTAAATCCTACTACATCACATTCTATCTCCCCTGTATTTGGATGTAAAACCCGTGGTTTCCTGAAACAAATTCCCTTGGTTCAATCGATGTTCCTATCACAGCTATATTATAAATGTAGATATCAACCAATAGAAATCAATTTTCTTGACAGCTAAAGCACTCAATTGACCAGCAAATTTCCTCTTAGTTTGCAACATACATAAAATCCACAAAGATATCCATATACTATATACCCTCTGGTAACCAAACATGGCTTGCTGGAGACTCCCCCATTTTGTTGTTTTTGTTGGGGATCTCCTGGCCCATGTTTTTTTTTTGATCCCAAACTACATAAACATACAAAAGCCATATAAATCCACTAAAAACAAACATGATTAATAGCAAACCTCCATTGAATTCAGGGACTTTCTACCATATTTTCCGTATGCTTTCCCATGTGTTTCCCATGAAAGGTGCCCGCAGTGATTCGCAGTGCGCAGGTCTCTACTTCGACCACGGCTTCGACGCGGTGACGCCCATGCACAACGTCTCCTCGCAAATCGTCTGCGACGGCCCTGGCACGGTGCTGCAGCGGGGTCTGGGATCGAAGCTGGCCATGCTTCACGTAGCGGACACGCGGTGAAGATTTCAGGGGTTCTGGGGAGATTTCGTGGAGAGTCCATGGGAAATATATGGGAAATTCTGAGCTTTAGATGGTTTAATTATGGGAAAATTGTATAAAATTGTTGGATAAGTTGGATGTTACTATGTTACCATGATTTCAATGTTGAATCTCAAGAGATTTGAAGAATCTCAAGAGGTTTTTTAGGCTCTGAGGCTTGGAGATTTAGATTGACCAGGACCAAATCTGGGGATCTAACGTGGCGGTGGGGTTTTAGATGGCTTTGGAGGGTTTTTCATTTAGGGTTTAAGGACTGTTTTTGATGGTTGAAGTGTTCAGAACCTGAGAGTCAGAGGTTTTAAGTGTCTTTTTTTTTCATGGCTTGATTGATGGTTTTTGACAGTTTGGATGATGGTTTAATGATGCCTTGATGAGGACGTTTGAGGATGTTTGAGGAGGGTTTGATGGTTTTTTTGGTGATCGAATGATGAGCTGTTTTTCTGAGTTGCTCCAACCAATTGCAGATAATAAAGTTGCCGCACCTGCTTTCACAACCGGAGAGAGTTGGGCATGTTGTCGTCATTTTTACATGGTTGATGTGTTTTTAAACTATCGGCATCCTTTTTAATGCTGGATGGTGTTATTTAATGTTATTTAGTCTTTCATGCTTAATGGCTTGGTCAAAGTTTTATAATTGTTTTTGAGGATGGCTGTATGATTTAGAACCGATTTAACAATGGTTGAAAAGGATCGTTATTTAAAATGATAATCAAACCACTTCCAGAAGGCACATAGCCCTCAAGATTTTTGAGTTGCTCGAGTCTTTTTGGGGTATTGGTGCTTTAGATCATTAGAAACAATGTCACACTGCAGCGTGCCCTCGACGCAGGAAACGGAGACCAGGACTTCAGGAGAACTGGTGATCACAGTGTCGCTCAGTCTGGGATGTTTCTGGATGTTTTGGGCAGTCAGATGAGCCAAGGAAGATTGGAAATTGATGGATTTTTTTGGGGGGTAGGATTGGGCAACCTTCCAATCAGATATAAAAATGTCAGTGACTTGGACCCGGTTACTGTATGCATCAGGTCCCTGGCAAAAAGAACTTTTCGGGATGAATCTGAATGGCTGCTTCCACCTGCCGATTGCTCCAAAACAGCCAGTGGCAGTACTTTCTAGTATCACAATGTATAACATAGTATAACTATATGTAGTCAAATTTACCCTTCTACCCTGGCGATGGAAATGCCTTCAACCTAACCGACCATGTTTCCTGTGATTTTTAGGGGGGACTGCCCCCTGCCGGGCCCACGAATCTTCCCAGGCTGGATGCCCGGTCCAACCTATCCTCCACCAGCATGTGTCCCATCCGCGTGTTGACGGACCGCAGAGAGGGCCTTCCGATGATTTACATCGACATGCCCACGCCGATGCTCGGAATGTCTCTCTAAATTGTGACCTCTGGAATTACATGCCGGATGGCATCTGGCATTTTGGAGCCCCAAATGGGATTTTCATAGACTTGAAACACTTGAGATCACTTGAGAACAAGCGCTTCAAGATGCTTCAAGGGGCTTGACACTTTGACTAGAAAGTTCCCTAAGAGGCCACTTAGGAGTTGCAAAATTGCGGGCCCAGTTTCTCTACCAACCCATCCTCTCTGAGACTAGGACTTTCCACTTCGTTCCAGCCCTTCTTCACATCAGTTTGTGCCAGGACTACCCCAAAACCTCAGGGGAAATAACAATCCAATGATTCATCATCATCAGTATCATTCACTATCCCCTATCACAGTATTATTGTCATTATCACTATGATTATCATTGAATCATTCTGATTACTCAAACAGCATTATCTCCATCACACCGCACCACCGAAAGCCCAGGAACGCCTCGTTCTTGCTCTCGGGCACCTTGGGTGCGCGCACAGCGGACGCGCTCTCCGGGATGGAAATGGCCGTGCCCAGCTTCGGCTTTATCTCAGCAGCACCAAGCACGCCATGCTTGGTGAAGCTGGAGGTGGGCCGTGATATGCTATGATATTGGCAGGTTTTCTGAAAACCCACTGGATGGCTGCGGTATGCCCTGGTATTTTCGTTTTTTTGCGGATTAGACGGATTAGATTGGCGTCCTCGGCAGCCAAAGCATGATTTTTGGGGTATCTAAGATGGGCAATAGTTTCTGGCAACGGGTGGAGGGTTGTCTGTGGCTGTTGTTATATCATGGCTTGCCATGTACGGAGCACTGATGAGCACTGAGCACTGCATTTTACTCATCAAGAATCACGCATGGAAAAGTTGGATGAGGGCCCAGCTGTTGCAATGACTCCCGTTTCTGTTATCTCCGATTTCTGGCATATATTGCCGTTGTTTTTCTCATTTATTCATGTTTTCTCCTTCTCACCCCGTGCAGCCACATTTTTGTCGTTGGATGTTGTGGGTAAAATTCCTAGTGGTTTGCAGAACTTATATATCATGAAAAACCCAACATGGTTGGTTACTGCATGTTCTCATCTACCTTGATTCGTGCTTTTGGGCGCACTCCTCTTTAAAGGCTTCCTTGCATTAAGAAGCCTTGTCAATTCAATCACCATCATGGACAATTACATTAGGGACATTATATATTTTTGTTAAGTCCTGACTGTTTGCTGCGTAACATGCCCAGTGTGGCTGGTAAAACCCTGTTCTGTTGCTCAAACCCTCGACTTTGCTATTTAGAATTAGAAGGATTTACCCTCTGGTTATTTAACATAGCCATGGAAAATGGCCCATAGAAATAGATGGTTTACCGGTTTACCTATCAAACATGGTGGATCTTTCCATGGCTATGTTAAATAACCAGAGGGTAGATGTCAGATCAATTCCAATTTTCCGTTCGTTTTTTCACGACTTCGCTCCGAGGTCGGCTGTAGGGGATCATCTCCAGTCCTTGATCGCATAGGATCCATGGTGCTGGTATATATGCTAACATAAAGGGGGTATATTGATGGGATCCATGTTACCATATATAGCATAAATGGATCCTATGGGTATATATTTAGACCATCTTAAACAATATTAAACCATCAAGTTTCGCTGGGTTTTTATCACATTTGCTGTAACTTATCACCCAGAAACGCTTCGCCCCGCCAGGTGCCCCGCGGCGCCCTGGTAGCACCGCATCGCTCTCATCGGATGGACGCCACAGAGTGGACGGAGGTCGGCCCGTTTTGTTTTTTTGGTGATCGGGCTGATTTTTGGGGTTATTAATGGTCAATAATGGTCAATAATGGTTAATCATGGTTAATAATGGTTAATAATCTGATTTTTTGATTTGTTAACAGGGAATCTATGATTTTCTCGGTATGGCATCCTAGACTCCTAGACAACAAAGAACTTTGCTATTTTTGTTAAAAACCAATGCTTTTTAAGTGTGATCTTTCCTTCTGACAAGAAAAATTGGTATGTTTTTAGGGGATGGTCACAGAAAACGAAGCACTTTGTTGTTCTTTCCATCTGTTTCTTAGAGGCTGCGTTTGGGGAAACTGAATGGATAGCTCCGTCATTTCTGTGACAGCGGCTTGCGGTAGAACAACGCACATATTTAGATATGCCGATATGCCATGATATGCTCAACAGCCCAGCAGATATAATATATATATATGTTTCTATAGAACTATATATGATGAACTTTATAGATACTACAACAGAGATATTTATAGCTGGATGGAGATATAGATGTCATCTGCTGACCTCCGACCTCGTCGTTTCACCTCACCGGTCCGGGCCCACCGGTCCCCTAGGAGCGCCGGGGCAGCTACCGGCTGCTGGCCGACAGCGTTGACGCGGCGACGGAGCTGACGCAGCGGCTGCGCTTCCGGGTGGCCGAGGAGGAGATCGACAGGTCGCGAGTCGGGTTTTCGGGTTTTCGGCAGGGAAAAGTTGTGGCAATTTGCGGGAAATCATGCAAGTACCCTCTGGTAATTTAACATGGCTATTGAAAATGGCAATTTATAGTGGATTTTCCCACTAAAAATGGTGATTTTCCATAGCTATGTTAGTTTACCAGAGGGTATATTAAACTAGTAGATACATTTAGCTAATGTCAACCCCGGATTAATAATCCTCTAGGCTGTTTAATTGGGAAGGTACCATTTAAGTATCAAATCATGACTATTGGGAATACCCCCCTAATTAATAAACCATGGTTTATGAACCTGGGGTTGACATTAAGGGTAATTATATGTAATGATTATACCTCCTTTACAACCGGTAGGGAGGGACCCAAAAAATGAGGTTTAACATGGTTTAACCCCCTCATTAAATGTCATTAGTAACTGGTAGGCTCAATTAATATTGAGGATGGAGAGATGTATATCGTGTATATATATATATATATATGTGTGTGTGTGTGTGTAAACATACGTAATTAGAAGAAAACAAATGCACCAAAACCAGCAGCCAGAATTTGTTCAGCCCAAAAATGAGGACAAAATATCACCATCCCAGTAAACCTTTTGGGTTTCAATGGTCGCTATGTTTAGAGGGAAAAACCAGGAGGACCAAATGCTACCCTACCAAATATGGATAGATATGCCATATATTCTCTTAGACTCTTGGTGAGAACAGTAAGTACATATGTATGTATATATATATATATGTGTGTAACAGGTAGATATAGATATATAGATATTGATATAGATATAGATACAGATATAGAATGATATAGATATCGATGGAAGGTATGCGATAATGATACGATCTTTTTTGGGGGCGTAAACAAGGCAACTTTTACCTTTGGTATGTTTTTAATATATACATATACATACACACCCTTGTTGAGGTGTTGGGTCTTCACATGTCTTAGCCACATGCACCAGGCAGCCGCTAGTGGTGCCCATGACGATCTCTGTCTTTGCCCTTCCCAGCGGTCAGAAGAGCGATATGGAGAGAGGGGTCTTGCCCCTCGCCTGCTGCTAAGTATTTAATTCGAGCGACTGGAGACCATAAAGAGATGATGATTGGAAAGGAAACCACACTTAAACTCAGAAAAGGGCAACATCTTATGTATATATATATACATATATATATATATGTTATTTGTGTATATATATATGTGATTATATTATTACATATGTATATATGGTATTATATGGTTATTTATAAAGATACAATATATATATGTATACACATTAGGCCTAAGTATAGATTATTCTTTTATATTGTGTATATATATAATATATACATACACATTGTATAAACTTATAGGTTACTATATATCATACATATAATATGCACATGTTTCCGTGCGTGATTGTCCGATGTAGGGTCCAGGATGATCATGTGCCCTGCTGGTTGGTGAGATTTGGAACATGAATTTTATGCCTTTCCATATATTGGGAATAGTAAACCCGACTGACTTTCATATTTTTCAGAGGGGTAGGTATACCACCAACCAGATTTGATATGTGAAACTTCTTTGACATAGTTTTCGTGCGATTCCAAAATTCTTTGTACGGCGTAGAGTTGGAAGAGTTGGACATGTGTTTCGTTGGCTGCACATGGGTGACACTCAAGGCGCTTCAAGGTCAGGTTTCAAAGTCCATCAATGCCCATAACTCGATGTTCAGGCTTAGGTATGTTTTTTCTTGGAAATGGCCATTTGTACAGCAATTCTCACCAGGTTTTTTTTGGGGGGGAGGTGTACTTTAACAAAAGACAATTTCCACATGAGGGTCACACTAGTAGGGTCATTCCTGGCAGCCGGGTCACCGTTCAGTTCACCCACTGTCCCAGAAATAGCTTGGAATCATTTAGACCGAACATATTCGCAGAGATATTTACCCATCCGCAAATCCTGAGTTTTCCGGTAGCCTCTGGTAAACTAACAGTTTGCTATGGAAAATCACCATTTTCCACTATAAATCACAATTTTCAATAGCTATGTTAGTTTACCAGAGGGTAGATTCTCCCTGACCCAAGTAGCAGTCCAGTGCGGCTTCAGGAGAGACCAGCGTGACTTGCAACTCTCCATGTCCTCAGAGCCATCCATTCCCAAATTGCACATCCAGCAGCGGCAGCTACACGTGCCGCGGCCACCGCAACGTGTCGAACTGGCACAGCTGGAGATGCAACTTCACTATCCACGAAGTTTCGTGCTGCAGCTCTCATGCGATGCTTGGCCATGCGCATGGGATCGGAAACGACGCCATCAAAGCCTCGGTTTCTTGCGGGTTGTCTTGTCAGATTTGGGCTCACAAATTCCACGCAGATGGCTGCACATGTCAATTCTATCCTTCTTTTGCCTCTTCAAAAGGCCCTAAAGTAGGGAACCAGATACCTCAATGATCCTCAATGTTACTGTGAACGTATGATGACCAACCAGTCAACCAGTAGCTGTTGGCTGACTGGGACCACCAGGCACGTAGCCATGGCCAGCTTGGTCATCTCGGTTCTTTAGCTTTTGTTAGTCTTACCAGCGATGTCTCCACATGTCTCCCACGGGCCCACTTTATCCGACTTTCTGTTCCCTACATCATCGTATCAAAATCATTCACAATGATCTTGAATCATCTTACATGTAAATACCACCATTTCTGAAGCTGATTTATAGCAACGTATAGAACCACCCAAAATAGATACGAAAATTGCGAAGCTGGAAATATGAGGTAAATCTCATCAAACTACCTTCCCGGTTTTCCCACTTTTGAATCATTTTTTGGGTGTTGCTACAGGGTGGGCCTCTCAATTATAACCCCATTAACATCCATTAACTGCTATAGTTATATCAGCATGTTATATCATGTTATATCTATATCCTCAGCTGTAGTACACCACGATTAACCAAGTTATCTGGTTGGTGGTTTGGAACATTTTTTTATTTTCCATTTCATATATGGGATGTCATCCTTTCCATTGATGAACTCATATTTTCAAGATGGCAACAAAACCACCAACCAGCAACTTATATGCGTCAACTTACCTTCTGGTAAACTAACATAACTATGGAAAATCATGGAAAATCACCATTTTTAATGGGTAAATCAAGTTATGTGCGTCAACTTCTCTCTAAAAACCAGCGCCCCACGGAGGACTCTCAGCCCCAACGCCAAAGGACGCCTGCACGTTCCACGACGGCTCCCTGTCCACCGCTTCCGTGTACCAGGTCACCGGTCTGGCGCCGGTGCTGCAGAGGCGCACCGAAAGGGGCACGGTTCGTCTAAGCGACCTTTGAAAATTGGGGACGGTTCGAATCTAGTGATAGAGACATTTGATGAATTCTGTATGATTATATATTAATATATAGATATATTATATATAGATAGTATATATAGATATATTGTATATAGCTATTATCATCTTTGATTATGCTTTTGGTAATGAGATATATGTTGGATGATTGGTGGATATATAGGTAATATTAGGTAGTATATGTATTTTAGCTGGATGTTTGTTTGTTGTTCCGGTCATAGAAACTTTGAGTTATAGCCACCAGTTGTTGCTCTAACGCTAGCATATACGTAAATTACGCAGTCTATTTGGGAAGCTGAGTCCTGGAGGTGAGGGTGACATGGGCCGACTAACAGCATGGTCAAGGGTGCCCCTGATTTTCACGGCCAGGAACATCATTTTCTCTTACACTCGTAAACTAACATAGCGAACTGGAACATCACCATTTTTGATGGGTAAATCATCGAACTAGATGGCCATGTTCAATAGCTATGTTAAATTACCAGATGGTATTTGTGTTTCTTCTTTGTTTGTCGGGGGAATGTGCCATAATATGCTATTTGAGGCAACCTTTAGGGGTAAGAAGAGGATATCCTTTTTTCTTTGGCCTTGTGATGATAGAGAAACCACGTCGTGGGCTTTGTCTTGGGCTGTGTTGGATCACTAGTTTAATACTGGATGAGGATATGTACTGCTGGCACATTCGGTACTGGTTGGATGGTGAAGCAAATGCAAAGATACCTGCTGGATCCTGCTGGCAATCTACCCTGCTCCTTATGGAATACTATGGCTCTACCATATCATGCATATATATATATATTATATACATACACACATGTGTGCATATATAATTATATATATAATATATAGATATTATATCCTGTATATATATATATATATGTATATACACTATATATACACAAAACATATGGGCCAAGAATACGTAGGTGTTTTATGGTGTTTCTCATGGCACGTGGATGGTTCAAAAGGGGGGTCTCATTGCCCAATGTTGGGATGGGGCTGGACGACGTGTGAGGCATGTCGCAAGTATGGAGATGGAGGCGTTTCTGCAGAATCGGGATTTTCTGCCACCAAAAATGCATCGGAAAATTGATACTTCAACACATCACAACGGAGATGGGAGTCTAAGGGGGCCTAAACATGGAGCTGAAGATTCAGTGTCAGTTTTTTGTTGCACCCATTTTGGACTTACATCTTAGATTTTAAGGTGTTTTGGCTCCTGATTCAACTACTAGCAAGACCGTTCCATGGCCCGCAAACGTGCTGTTTTTGACAAAAGCTCGTCATACTTATTATAGACAATTGTGATGGAACATATGGCACTCAAACATATTGCAACGGAATTGTATTTGTTCATGGGTTTTGAATTCTAAGTGCTGTTTGCCAACAAATATCTCCCATGAAGATCATCAAATGGTGAACAATTGTGTGTTGATAGATTAGTAGGGAAATCCTGAAGGAACCTGCTGCAAGCTGGGTCCCATTTGGAAGTCAACCTGTTTTGAGGCCTTACATTTTGTTCCACAAATTAATAGATTGAATTTTGGGGTCACTTTTTTTTTCTGACAAGCCCATACCGGCCCATACCAATATTGTTGGTTTTACATCCCACTATCCCATGATATTCCCATTGAATTTCGATATATATATATATATTATATTTGGAAGTATATATATATACTTTTATATCCCTGTAGTGTATCCCATTGTATATATATATACTTTTATATCCCTGTAGTGTATCCCATTGTATCCCCATCATATCTCCATTTTAACCAACTTCATCCAATTGCGGCTTTTCCTTCGGGACACTGGGAGGTGACTTGCGCCAACTGTGAGGCGGAAGTCCCTCAGCGCTGATCATGTGTGATATGATGCTTTTTATATCACAGATGAACATCTACCTATCTATCAGTAGTACTGTATCAGATTTTAAGTTCTATCAGATATAAATCGATAATGTAGAATGATCAATTCTAGTATCAGATGTAAATCTACATCTCTAAAAGTAATAATTTTGTATAGTTCTAAGTATAGAATAACTTACCTAGATATAATGCAGATACAATTTTGACCATCTCATGACTCCCTCTAGTTTTCATTTGTGATCAGATCTGTGCAATTATATTCAGATGAAGATTAGATGGACGAATATTAGAGGTTTGAAAATTATATATAGATAAACCATATGTTCTTATTAAAAATAATTTCATATCAACCCATGTTTGAACATTAGAGGGAATATCCTGCAGAACATGAAGTTGAATTTTAACTCCATCAAGAATTAGGGTTTGAACTAACAAAAGCACAGAAACAATGAGGCTTTAGTGGATCCATGTTTAGTCAGACTTATGATGTCAGAGAATGCTGAACATGAATAGGAAGTACAGATCTACTGTTATTCGAAACCCATGATGGATCATGATGGGATGTTGGGCTCCACCCTGTAAACGAACAGGACGGTGAACGTTGGGGTGAACATCACCACTTGCTAAAGTTGATTTGTGGTTCATATTTTTGTTATATTAATTGTCATTTTTTGCAGTGCATGTTTATGGCATCTTATGGCCATGTCATTTCTGCAATGTGGTTAAACCAATGATAAATTACTCATGTGGGAATGGTTTAACGGTTTGCCCGTTTGCCCCCTAAAACTGGTGATGACTGGGGGATGGTTTATGAAATTGTTTTACCCACATTAAGACTTACCCTCTGGATCTGGTAATTTGTTACATAGCTATTGAAAATGGCCATTTAGTTCGTGAGTTTTCCCGCTAAAAATAGTTTTACCCGCAAAAAATCCCCAACATGTCCCCACGGTTTGTGAGACCACCTCCCGCCTCAGGTCGTGTTGATCAGGGCCTGGGACCCAAAAACCTTGGAACTGCGCAACGAAACGATGACCGCTATGGGCAGTCTCATCGCGCAGGTGAGGCTGCGAAAGCCCTGGTTGGTTGATGATTAGTTTGGGGATTATACTCTACCCTCTGGTAAACTAACATAACTATGGAAAAAAAACATGTTTAATGGGTAAATCAAATAGACATGGCAATTTTCAATAGCTATGTAACAAATTACCAGAGGGTACCCAATTTTTTTTGGGAGTTGGGAATTAGTTGGGGATTGTACTACCCTTTATGTATTTGGGGGTTGCGCTAATTCCTTTGATACCAAAACAGGATTATATAAACTACCCTCTGGTAATTTGTAAAAGTTTGCTATTGAAGCCATGGCCCATAGAAATAGTTGATTTACCGAACTTGAAAATGGTGATTTTCCAGTTCGTAAACTGTTCGTTTACCAATAACCACTGGCAACTGGTGGGGTGAAGGGTGAACCCTGATTTCCCTGAGCAAAAAAGTTCCCAGTAAACGTGAGTTATCCCATAGATCGATGATTATGTTGATGGGGTTGATGGGGTTGATGGTTGAATTATGCCATAATTATATCAAATTATGGTTACCAGTGACGAAGTGGGATGATCCTCCAACTCGGGAGCGGTTTTTCGATGTTTTTGGCAGGTTTCACGGAGCTATGGGGACACCCAGTTGTAAGATGTTGCAAGTTGATGCTAGAAGGTTATGTATTGCACCATGTATATGTATATGCCCATCCAACTAGAGTCCAACTCTGGATAGATCCGCCACAAATTCATTGTTAGCCTGTTTATTTTTACAATATTTTTACCAACTTAGCTCAGTAAGCGGTACCACATACTCCTAATTCCATTGGTTAATCATCATGATCCCTACTCAAATCATTGAAACATTGCCATACCCTCTGGCAATTTATCATGCGGAAAATGGCCATTTTCAAGAGGATCTACCATGATCTACCTATAAAAATGAGGATTTTCAGTCGCTATGGTTCAGAAATCATGAGAGGGTCAGGGGCACAAACCCATTTTTAGAGACTCCCTTTCCGAAGCGGCAGGCTTCATGTCAGATCATCACACGCAGCAGTGCAGTGGCACGAGGG